ACATTTTTCTTAGAACTTATTTTATTTTACTACACAGTGTCCTAGTAACTCTACACACTGCTCCCAGCGATTCTCTTATCTGTCTAACCCGTCCAAATAGTATTTGGCGTTTTTCTCTGCAAAATAATTGTTCACGAAGGTTTTGCCTTCTCGTTTGACGGAAATCTCTGTCCTCAGATCGCAATTTTTAAATGAGGGAACAAAATGAAATTGCTTGGAACTATATCTGGTGAGTAAGACGGATGGTAGCAGTTCAAACCGTAATTCGTGGATTTTCGTCATGGCAACCGCTGAGGTGAGACGGTGCGTTGTCGTGGTGAAACAGGATTTTTTCCGGCAGTTGTGTCGCAATCTTCCGTTTGTCATCTAATGATGCGTAATTATGCTTCTGTAATAGTTTTTCCTTTTTGAATATAATTAATTAAGATGATAATTAAGGTGAGTATCCCAAAAAACAGTCGCCATCACTTTTTTGTTTTTGACAGTATTTTTGTTTCGGGTGTATAATGGTGTATCCAAGTTTCATCTACAGTAATTAATCGGCGCCAAAATTCGGATTTATTGCGCCTAAACTGCGCCAACAGAGCTTTGGAAATGTTCTTCGAACACGTGTTTTGTCTAATGTGAGCAAACGCGGCACACAACGTGTTGACAGCTTTCTCATGCCTAAATCTTGCAAACACGTTCTTTGGACATTTTCATAACCTCTGCTTAACTCTCACTTTAATTCGGCGATCGTCTAGCACAATTTGGTGAACTTTAGCGATGTTATCTTCAGTAGTTGCAGTTTTGGACGACCCGAACGTTCATAGTCTCCCAAGCGCTCACGGCCACGTTTAAACTCAGCTGAACAAAATATTACTGTGGTACATGATGGTGCAGAGTACCCATACACACACAGAGTACAACTCGTCTTTGATTTGCGTAAGCGTATTGCATTACAAAATCAAATATTTAATGACAGCTCGATACTTAACGTTTTCCATTTTCACAAAAACCTACTCAAACGACTGTCAAATAACAACTACGCGTCCAGATGCAAAACCACATTCACTAGCTTTTATTGACGAATGCCGCCATTCACGTCACGTTGAGGTCAGAAACTTTTCAGACAACCCTGGTACACATCGAGAAAATCAAATAAATATTTGAGAATGTGAAGACCGATGAAGGCAGACTCTTCCTCACTTAATTTGACTTTTTACATATTCGTTTGCAACTTCCTGCATTACAGCCTACAAAACTCTACTGTTGGGCTTTCCCAATAGATTGCTTCGGATGGAGGACTCTTCTATTTTTGCCACGCTTGGCAGACGGGTTGGCAACCGTAATTGGTTCCAAAACCTTATAAAAACATTATAATATTATGTATGGTTAACATATTTAGCTCTCTCGTCTGCCACTCAGAAAAGTAGACAGAGCCTATGGACTCCCATTTGTCATGATTCTTACACACAATGCTCAAATGGATGAGGGGTCACATTCTTCGGGAGCAATACTTGCCATTCATCACGATCTGCCTTTTGGCTACTGTAGCTTATTGGAGATTAAACTTGTAATCATATTTTCATTGCCTCTTGTTTATGTTAGTTGGCGTACGAACTGCGAACTGCTTTCTTACCAAATTAGGTTGCAATATTACTTAGTATATTTTGAGCAACAGTGTTATATCGATGCCGATTTTCAACAATTTGCCTTTTCGGCTGGTTAAATTAAGAACTAACCAACTAAACAATGGCAATTGCAAAAATTTAATTATCTAGCTTATCTCCTTTTTCGCTTGTTAAGTTAGGATATCCAACTAAGAAATTGCAATTATATATATAATTGCTTAGCTTAGTTGGTTACTTCCTAACTTAATAAGCGGATAAAGATAATTTAGGCAAATGTTTTAAATTCGGATTTGCTATAACACTGCCGCGTCGTGGCGGTAAGACAATTCATTCCAGTACGCCATTATATCATCCCTTGGGAGTCGTAACATACGACAGAGATAAGGAAAGAGGAGATGAGAAGCTGTACTTTTCCAATAACAGTTCAAATTAATAAAAACAGTTCAAATTAATAAAATTTTGCGGTTGCCAAACGCCCGCAAAGCTTACACTGCATTTTTTTAAAGTTACATGAGGCAATCTGTTAGTGAGACCTTCAGCAGTGGACTCTTCATTTGTAATGGATAACTATAACATGAGATTACCTGAATACGAAATGTAGTTTTTTTTTAAATCATCGTGTACCCGACACGATGTTCGTGTCAGTTATGTAAAAACTCCTTACTGTTTTTTATTATGATAAATAATTTACAACAAGCAATATTTACAATTAATATTTATGCTACTACACGTTACATTAATATTACTGTTTTTTCTTAATAATTCCTTTTAATATAGTTTCAGTATTTTCAATTCTATGCTAGACCTTTTCAAATATGCGCCAATCTTTTTTTGTTTTTATTTTATAAAAATGTTAGGAATTTCTAACTAACTAAGAAATTAACCAGTATCATGGAGGTGGTCTACTAACATAAATTACACACGGACAAACGTCCAGACACGGAAAAATTTTCGTGGGTCATACAAATACACACTACATACGACTCCATCCCGCGAGCGAGCTGTCAAATGATAATCACCTCGGTCTGGAGAATTTGCTTTCAGCGTTTTCGTATTACCGGCAAATAAAAATAACTACCCACTCGTCATTGGTCTAGTGGTCGTTAGCGCAACTGCTAATATTGTGCTCTCGGATTCGAACTTGGATAGAGAGTGAACCGAGAAGTGAGAATGCACACACTCGTGGTCATGCACTAGCATTCTGTCCCGTGCGGAAATCTAATCAATGTTAAGACAGGCTGCCTTGACCGAAATTTGATCTGGAGGACATTTTAGGCTGTTATTGGTCAGTCGCCAGGAGCGATAGGGTTGCCAACTTTCATTTTAAATATTATAGTATTTTCGAAGCTGATTTACGACACTTGTAACACGTAGTATATGAAAAAAAAAACGTATTGATACTCTATGTTTCAAGTTAATATTTAATTCATAAGAATATTGAGCCTTTGTTAATAGCCTCATGCCACAGTCAACCTAATATAAAAGTAATAAAAGTAGAGTTGACTGTCCTAGGTGGAAGCGAGGTTGTGATACTTGCAGAAAATATATTTTCATATATTTATCTTCCGTGCTGAAAATTGAAAAAAGCTGCGGTTTGCCAACCCGCCTGCCAAGCGTTGCAACTTTGGCGAATATCCCCCCCGTGGGCTCTTGTGTGGGTGGGCCTATGTTCAGCAGTGAATTTTGATAGGTTATAAAGATTATATAGTTTTATACACTTACTTACTAATAATACGACTGCCTCATTGGTCTAATGGTTGTAGTAGTGCGACTGCTGATCATAAGGTCCTGGGTTCGAATCCCGGGTTGGGCAAAAAAATCAATTATTGAGTTTTTCCGTCAAGAAATTCTTAGCAGCTGCCCGGAGTTAGGAAGTTGGCGGTGTCTCACTCCCGTGCCTCGGAAAGCACGTAAAGCCGTTGGTCCTGCACCTGATCGTCGTTTCTGTCCTTATGAGAGTGAGGGAATAGAGAGTGCACCTGTGCTTCAATCCTGTCCTGCGCCGATGGCCAGTCTCCGTTGAGACAGGCCGCCGTGACCGAAATCCGGTCTGGAGGACATTATTGCTTTATACAGTCTTAAATAATACAAAGACTATAGAAGCTTTTTGAGATGGGACTCGTAACTTGTATTATATTCAATCGAGGTGCTTGTACTATTATGTATTCTGTGATTTAGGTTAGATCCTTTTTTGTCACCATTTGTGTAAACTGTTACCTGTTAGGTAAGTACCGATTGATCGTTATTTCGTTCTTCGGTGAAGATACGATCTTGAGCACAACCTGTGTGCCTGAGAAATAAGACATACCTATTTAAGTGAAAAAGATTGAACCGGAAGAGTGGTCTCTTTACTCGATGATTTTCTCTGTGCCTTACGTGCCCTACAGCACATTCTTAATATTCACTAATACTGTGCCTACAGTAGGATTTTTCCTAGTAGATTCCTTGGTAACGTGTATAATTAGTGAAATCTCTCTTTAAAAATACTATGCAAAGAATAACTCTTAGTTTATATTTGATCTATAACTAATACTGTGCCTAGGAGTGTAGCGGGGTAATATCGTTTGCATCCGTCAGCCGCCTATTCACCTTAGTGGACGGAGCTTAATTGCCGGCGTGAATCCCTACAAATCTCTCACCAGTGGCTCCAAGTAGCTGTTATGCACACACAGCAGCCACACCCCGGTAAACCGCGTCGGCTCGTGGGCTGAACCTGGATGAGGGTGATCTGCTACTATCAGGGCAGACTTTGTGATGGATCTCTCCCGTCTAGTGCATGAAGTCTGTCGTGGCGAGGCCTTGCAGATATGTAGTGGGTTGTGGCGGAATCGTGCGCGGCAGCAAGGCAGTGGTGTATGGCCTAGCGCGACGGCAGAAAACTACAGTGACCGTCGGCCAAACACATCATCTGAACTCTTCTTGAATTGTAGTGGTTTCCGCTCCATTGGGTTAAGAAGTGGGAAGACGAGACTGTGCACCTGAGTATGCGCGAGCTCTTGTGCACTTAAATATATCCTGCGCCAATAACTGTTTTCGAATAAGGACTCCGAGACATCATAAGTCCTGTGGCTATGGACTAAGGTAGAGAGGTCGGATCATGATGCTTCCTGGCTCTGTCTGAAGTCTACACACAGGCGGTTTGGGTGATGGTGGTCGTTTCCACGTTTAATCTGGGGTAACAGCGTGGATTTGGCAGCATCCCGAGCGTCGAAGTAGTCCTATTTAGGGTAGCATTGCTTCCCCTGCTCAGCCGGGGAAGGGGCTAGAAAAGGTGCCCTAAAAATTGCTTATCCCACCCAAATTTTGGAGGTAGTAACCACGACTGCCTACGCATCCCGACGAAGTATTCGTGGTCGAAGACACGATGCAAAATGTAAATCATCAAAAATGACATTTCGTGCGTGGAATGTGCGCACCCTACTCGATAATGACCATAATCTGTGTCCAGAACGCAAGACCGCAATCGTAGCTCGTGAACTGGGACGGCATAAGATAGATATAGCTGCGCTTAGTGAATCTCACTTGACGGATGAAGGCGAGCTCGAGGAACACGGTGGTGGTTATAAGTTCTTCTGGAAAGGTACACCGGCTACAGAACCCAGACGCTCTGGTGTTGGATTTGCAATCAGCATGCAGATTGTTAATAGACTGGAAGAGAGTCCACAATACATCTCGAATCGTATCATATCTTTGCGTCTACATTTGACAAATTCAAGATAACAGAGCAAATCTTACTGCTCGGAGGCTTCAACGTGCGTGTTGCCCGTGACTGTGATGCTTGGCCAAAGGTACTAGGTAGACATGGAGTCGGTATAACATGAACGCTAATGGTGAACGTTGCTGCTTAATGTGGAGAAGTCGCAAGCTCTTGAAATGCAGAATGTTTTTGCTGAGGCAGTAAGTAAGGGTATCCCCACCTCAATATAGATACCGGTAATCTTGAAGCTGATTGGAAAACTCTGTCTTCTCGTACAGTTGATGTAGGAACGCAAGTCTTCGGCCTGAAAAAGCGCTTCAACGAGGACTGGTTTGATGAGAATGATGAGAAGTTAGCTGTTATTTTCAAAAGACATCGTAACCTCTTACGACAACAAAATTACAGTCCAAGCCAAAGTAATAGTTTATTAGAAACAATCAGATATAGTGGATCTGCTCTGAGGAAAACTGCTGGAGAGATGAAAGACTGGTGGTCGCGAAAGGCAGAATATTTTCAATGGCACTCTGACACCAAGCAGCTCGGTATTTTTATGTGGAAGTAAGGAAACTGGTCCGGCCTAGGCATAGAAGCAGGTGTACCTTTAAAGTCACGCAATGGTGAGCAGCGTTTAACAGCAAAAGAAGACGTGTTAAAGCGATGGGCTGAGCACTTCAAGGAACTTCTTTAGAAGTTCCTTGAAGTGCTCGCCCTCATTTATGAGGGCGGATTATCCGACTCCAGATTTATAAGCAACATCTTATCTCTTACGCAAGTTTCCGAATTAGAAAAGCCACCAACATTGCAAGAAGTTGTCAATGCCATTCTAGTTCAGCCAAATAATAGAGCGGTTGGAGTAAATAGTATTCCTGGCTAGTTGTTGAAGTATGGAGGAGAACAGCTATACTAAGGTATGTAAGCTTTTTGTCCAGATGTGGTGTGAAGAACAAGTTCCATCCGTATTTAAGATATCGCGCATTTGCTGCTTATATAAAATAAAGGTGAAAGATTTGACTGCAATTCCTATCGTGGTTTGTTACTCCTTTCTACGCCTGGAAAAGTATTTGCTAGGGTGCTTCTTAACCGACTCATTCCTATTTCGGAAGCGTTGTTACCAGAAACCCAATTTGGTTTTCGTCCGAGGTGAGGTACTAGTGAAGCTATCTTTTGTGTACGTAAACAGCAGGAAAAAAGTCGCAAGCAGCATCGGCCCATGTTCCTTTCATTTGTCGATCTGGAGAATGCGTTTGATAGCAACAACCTCGTGAAGCGTGATGGATGATTTTGTTAAAATTGGGTTGTCCGGAAAAGTATGTACGAGTAGTGAGGCTGCTTGGTTTCCGTAAATGGTAAACAAATAGAATTTTTCCCAGTTTCCTGCGGTGTCAAGCAAGATTGTGTCAACGCGCCAAAGTTGTTTGCTCTCTATTTCGCTGTGGTGATCAGGGATGCTATAGATACTCTGCAGGAAGGGATACGTATTCGTTTCCGCGTCGATAGCAATCTTTTTAGTTTAAATAGACAGCGGGCAAAGATTAAGGTGACTTGCGACCTAGTAACTGAAATTATGTAAGCGGATGACTTGTGCTTTGTGACGGATTCCCCATATTCTCTCCAAAGATTGATGACTGGTCTTGATGAGTCATGCCGTAAGTTTTGGCCTAAAAGTCAGTGTCACAAAGACCAAAGTGGCGACTATGGGCTCCCACGCTGACCCTTTACGGATCCAGCTTATTGAATAAAACTAAATTTACGGATTCTATCGCGTTTAATTAACTACTCTTACTTATTTTTTTTTTAATTCCCGACGTTTCGAGTACTTTACAGCACCCATGGTCACGGGGGGGACTGAGATGTTTGACGTCCCAATGTCATTGTTAGCCCGGCTACCTTCAGTTTTTTAATATTAATTTTTCGATCCGATCTACGCAAAACGAGCTTACAGTATCTTGAAGTCTTGCAGTGGTATGCTTGGGTTTGGGTGCATGGGTGGATGGTAAAAATAAGTAAAAGTAGTTATTTAACGCGATAGAATCCGTAAATTTAGTATTCAATGTGTAGTGTTCGCGTAAATTTAAGAAATCATTAGGATCCAGCTTAATCAAGGCGCTCTGTATTCTGTAGAAAAGTTTAAGTACTTGGGAAGCGTAATAACATCTAAATGTGACGTTGAAGCTGAAATAAGTGGAAGAACCGGTGCTGGATCAGCTGCTTTCAGAAAATTGAGATCCAAGGTTTTCCGTTTACATGATCTCAGGTTACCCACTAAGATAGCAGTCTATAGGGCGGTTGTCCTGTCGAATCTTTTATTATCAAAATAAAATACAGCAGACGCGCAACATGGTTCCTTGTACAATAAAATAGTGCGAAAAAAGTAGCCAAATGAATAATTTAAAAAAAGTTGCATTACTTTACATAGATAAGTGAATTTTAATTTCCAAATTCATTAATTAAAATTAAATCAAAGCTCAACCTATATTTGTCATAAGGAAATCGCGTTCATTTATTCGGACATCTTCGGATATTTTCGAACTATGCATCCCTTTCTTTTCAATGCAGTTCATTGATGCTATACTTTTCTTTAATTACCGGCACGTGTAACTAATATATAATATTGGTACAGGTAAATATTATGCACATTGTCGTGAATGTTTTACAGACTTATACTATAAGCGACATAGGTATAAGCTGATTTTTTTTAGTGAGTGTACGTTAATCCATATTTGAATTAACTGATTTAATAATTAAATCAAATTACTTCTAAAAAAAATCATAATAAAATAGATATAATTTTTAATAGACGGCACTCCGCTCTCTTTACTGCTAAGACGCCATGTCAAGATAAGTAGGAAACGGAAGTAAACTTGACAGTTTAAATAACTTTTGCTCTTTTATTTTTAATAGTATTCTATTATTATTTCAGTATTGTAAAGAAAGCTTGTATTATTAAAAAACATTCTTTAAAATAAAAATTATAGGTATTTTACTGAATAAGATACCTACTTAAATAAAACTTCTTTTGTTTTTTTTATTTTGTACTAATTTATAGTAGAATATAATTCTGGTACTGATTAAGTAGACTTGGTACCAAATTAATTAGTTAAAGTTCCCATCACTATTTGCTTATTAGCAAGTGTCGCAACCTTTTAACCAATTAGCATGCATTTCAACCCACCATCCCCGTACCGCTTACCTCAAACTTTTGGCAGACAGGTTTGGATGCAGAATTACACATACATAAGAGTGTATGTACGGAAATATATAAGAATCTCTAACGTAAAAAATGGCCGCGACAACAGCGCTGCCTGGAAGCTAGTTTATTAACTACCACTTGAACTATACATTACTATAGATAGTATTATAATATATATATATATATATATATATATATATATATATATATATATATATATATACATATATATATATATATATATATATATATATATATATATATATATATTATTCTCTATACTACTCCTTTCATATTGTTATTTTTATTTAGTATTTTGTCGATTTCTAAATAACAATAAAAACACTGTTTGTTACTTAAAAATCGGCATAAATTCTCTCGACAAATTGAAGGACTTAGGCAAAAAAAAAGATTTTCAGTATTGTTAACATTATTTATTTCACAATTTTCATCAAGATGATATTTTGAAAATAAAATAACATCAAAACGTGTTATGTATGTTATAAAATTCCATGTTGTCTGCACATAATGTAGAAAGTAACTTACTAAAAACCACCATAAAAATTATAGGGTATAGTAGTCTTTTATTATATTTGTCACTGCACCAATTACAAAATCTATCTAACTTAAAGCACATTCATGAGCCCTACGTTTTGTGCTATACAATAGAAATTACGATAAAACACTCAAAAATACGAAATAACAAGAAAGAAGCACATGCACAATTCGGCGGACATATTTCTTAAATAATTTTTCACTTTTCAATTTGATTCAGTGTTGCCTAATGAAACAAATTTTAAGCTTGTATTTTTTACTATTACTCCTTATAATATAAACCTCACGTATGAAGCAAATATAAACTAACTTGAATTTAGAACTATGAAGGGATTTTTTATTATTTATTATTGCGGGAGAAAAAATTTATTAATTTAGTAACACCAATATGTCTTTTCTTCACCGCTGCATTGGAAGACGTTTTCAAGCTACTGGGCTGGAAAGGATACGGTATTGACATCAATGGCGAGTAAATCACTCACCTTCGATTTGCCGACGATAGTATGTTCCTTATGGCAGAATCGCTGGAGGACCTAAGCACTATGCTCAGTAACCTCAATAATGTCTCTCAACGGATAGGTCTTAAGATGATCATGGACAAAACTAAGAACATGTGTAACGTCCATGTCACAACTATGCCGGTAGTTGTTTGGGAGCACTGAGCTCGAAGTTGTCGACGAGTATGTTTACCTGGGACAAATAGTCTCACTAGGTAAGTCCAACTTTGGCCGAGAGATCACATGACGAATTCATCTCGGCTGGGCAGCGTTCAGGAAATTACGACACGTTTCTCGTCAGGTATACCTTAAAACCTGAAAAGTAAATTGTACAACCAGTGCGTGTTGCCAGTGATGACCTATGGAACTGAGACGTGGTCCTTTACTGCTTGCCGTATTGAGGACGCTCAAGGTCGCTCAGCGAGCTATGGGGAGGGCTATGATCGGGCTTTCTCTGCGTGATTAACTTAGAAATGAGGATATCCGCAGTAGAACCAGAGTGACCGACATAGCCCAACGGATTAGTAAGCTAAAGTGGCAATGGGCCGGCCATATAGTTCGAAGAACCGACAAACGTTGGGGATAATAGGTTCTCGAGTGGCAGCCTCGTACCGGTGGGCGAAGTGTAGGGCAACCCCCCACTAGATGGAGTGACGACCTGGTAAGACATGCAGGAAGTCGATGTATGCAGGCGGCTCAGGACCGTGCTTTGTGGCATACCTTGGGGAGGCCTATGTTCAGCAGTAGACTTGTGAAGGGCTGCAATGATGATGATGATGAT